CGCCCGCGCCGCCTGCGGTGTTTTCTCTTGAATCAAAACCACGTCCCAGCCTTCATGTGTCTCCAGTTAGCTGCTGACTGGCTTTAATACACACTATGCCTTTTTTATGAAGGGAAAGGCACGTAAAACTTTAAAGGACTTTATAAAGACACTTAAAATGCACACTTTTCTCTATTTTAAGACACTTATTTGTGATATATCCAAACTTAGCAGGTGCTTGGAGGGTCAACTGTGACTACAGAAGTGTGAAGCTGAAAGCAAGCACATACCTGGACCCCACTCTCTCAAAATCATAGTATTTATGAACAATTAGTACACTGAAATGTTAATGATATACATGGGTAGATGATTAAAGGGCTCTGATACACGCTTCTCTTCATTTGGGAGGAAACAACAAAATGTAATGTGCCAGATATAACTGGTTAATTACAGTTAAGTCAGTAACTAACAGTAAAGACAGTAAGTCTGTATTTGTCCATTCAGCGTGCCAGGGAAAACCCAGCGACACGAGTACGTGTGTTCACACACACAAACACCTCTAAACATGTGTGATCAAAGCTGGGGGACACACGGGTTTGAGTCTTCCTTCTCGGGGCTGACTGACAGGGGCTTAGGAGAGAAGCACATTTGAGGCTGACCCTATAAGCGAGTCGGACACTGTAAAACATGTGGTTTTCCCAGCGGAAAAACATGCTAACACCCTTAATTGCTTTTTGACCACAAGCCTTAGGGGATGTTGCTGCTGGGGCTGGCGATGAGGTGCATCCCCGCTCGACCAGCCGGTGGCAGCAAGCGGCCGTGACGCGCGCCCGGCGCCGCTACCTGCGGCGAGCGCCAGAACCGACCTCCGCAAGGGACTTGCTTTGCAGGTGAAATTCTCCTTCTGCACAAAAGGAAATCTCTACTTGAAATCTTCATTCTAAAAACCTCCTCCATTTATTGTAAGTGTAATGCAAATTTAAGCAGTTTGGTGCCATTTCCAGTGCAGACAAATGAAACAAATAATGAGAAAATCAATTTCAAGTGGAACCGAGCAACTTATTTGCATTACTATTTGCTTTGAAAATGCAGTCTTGGGTGAACAAGAACTTTGTTTAATGAAATTGAATTCAGTAAGTCATCAAGAAAAGCATCCAGTCTAAGTGCTTTTTTTTTCCCTGGAAATGTAACTAGTTCATGTGTTCTATTTAAAAAGAATGAGATATTAAAAAAAAAAAAAAGGGCAAAAACCTGGAGATAGAACAAGGTATTTTTGCTGGCCAGGAGCAGCCTCCTCCCAAGGCAGCAGCCTCGGCGATGGTCTGTGCAGCGCCGAGTGCCCCCGCGCAGGGCACGAGACCAGGCACTGACCTGCACTTGCCTCACACACAGCCCTCCGAGTCTGTAACACAGAGTAACTTGGTGCTTTTGAAACATTTTAGAGATTTGTCTCTTTCAGAAAAAGGTTTTGTGTGTGTGTGTGTTAAATGTTTGTTTAAACATCTTCTGCGCCATCTACCCTCTCATCCTTCCTCTCCACGTCATTTCTCTGCCTTAGAGAAACATGGAGGCTCATGATGAAGCTTCTGCTTGACTGTATGATGAGCAGTAAAATAGTTACCAAATCATCAGTATACCTGACTGAGTGTGCAGAAAATACCTGGAAAAATGGATTTCTCCAAAGGCAGGGGCACACGGCTTCACCTGTTACACTAGGGACGGTAAACGGCAAGAAAGAAACATCAACCAAACATTTTTTTCCCAAACTGCAGCTGAGGTGTTCTGTAAGGAAGTGAAGACTGGGGGAGATTTCACAAACAGACAGAAAAAAAAACACACAGAAGAGAATGTGTCTTTTTTTTTCTCCAGATAATATGACCCATCAACATACTTGGGATTAGAGCCTTTTTTGTATTTCCCGCCACCTTGTTATACTTGTTCGATTTCTCAGACAGTTGACTTTGTTGCCTAGCTATCCCAATCCTGAAAAACATATTTGGGGATATCCTATTCATTTTCTGATATCCTCCTTGAGAGCCAGGAGGAACAGCCCTGATCTTTTCACAGTCACAGAAGATACCAAGGAGATGTAAAACTGGAAATGGAAGAGGATTGTTGGGATAACTGCAGAGAATGAAAAGCTGTTTTACAGTGAGCTTGCTAAGGTAGATGTCACATGTAATTGGCTGCACTAAATATTTCTCCCCATCTGAATTATGCAGCCATAGTTCTCCTTTTTTGCTAAGCTGCTTTCCTGAGTGCTTACCAAAGTATTTTTCAGATAATCTCCAAGAAAATGGGGAAGAGCTGCTTAAATGGATGATAGAAAAACTAAGAGCTGCCCACAATCCAGAGGCAGAGGGAGGCAACAGGGACCCCTCCACCCCCTCCACCCGCAGCGAGGGCTAAAATGAGGGACACAAGGGAGGAGAGGCGACTTCACCAAACTTGAGACAGTCCAAAATTATAGCCAAGAACTTGCCCTTATCACCCTGATATAGAGTGGCTGCAACTAAATGTGAGTAGGCAGGGTTGGAAAGCAATGAGAGAAGAGTATGAAAAGTGACTTTGGAGCATATTTCAGAAAAAAATCTAAGCTTTCACAGTCAGCTAACCTCACTGTGATATTTTCCTAGATCAAATATGCAGGAAAATATGGCAACCAGTACTAACTACATAACACACGACATGCCCAGTGATAATTACGGACATGCTGCCAGAGACCTCTTCCCCAACACATTCCTCCTTTTACTTGAGGCTGCTGACCGAGAAGCTGTCAGGAAAACAATGGGAAATAGGAGGCTCATTTCTGCAGGCAAATGAGCTCTTCTTGCTGGTTTTAATAACCTGCAAGGTTTTGAGGAAAGCCACTTTTTACCATTAGTGCTTACATACTCAAATCAATATCGTCTTTAAACTGTTTTCAGTTCTAGCGTTTTTTCAGAGAGCTTTGTAGGGTGAAATGATGCTCCTTGTTCTCACGTGTTACTTTGGTTTGGCAGCCCAGCAGTTTTGGAAAATCAGAGCTCCACCAGGAGACTGCTCTCGTCTACCTTCCAATCATCATGACAAGCATGTTGTTACAGTAAAGAAAGATATGTGTGATTGAGCCTTTCCCTGACGGTGAGGAATTACAGGGCACTGAGCGCAGAATGACCATGAGAAAACAGGCAGCTGTACAAACAGCAAGCGCTGTGACAACACCGCCGGGCTGGGATTTCACCACGCGCAGCTGATTCAGCTGCCGCCAGACGTGGCCCTGACAGCGTCCCCAGGGCTCCCCCAGCTCCCAGGCAGCGCGAGGGCCATCCTATGCGCGACACTGCACCAAATGTTTGTCCTGAGCATCATCCAAGCCTTGCACAACTACAAGCTGAATTCCAACAGGGATGATCCGTATCAGCAAACAGCAAACCTAACACAAGAAGGCAATGGGAAATGAAGAAATTGTCTTACTTTGGAGCTGAAATGTTATTTCAAAATAGAATTAAAAGGAACATCAAGGCAAAACATGATGAAAAATACTTAAAAGCTAAAAATTTAATAATACCTATAAACTAAAGGATCGTTTGTCAGAAGAACCCTTGCCAGCATTTTAAGGCACAAATACTTAGATATATTCCTTTTGGTGTTACTGCGCCCTATGAAAAAAGTAGGAAGTTGCAGATGCATTACCACACACGTCTGTGAAAGAATATGCCTAGAAAATACCTGAAGTTGACTTTTTTTGTGAACTTCTTAGTGATGCACTAAACTAGTTATTACTAAATTCCAACAGGGATGATCCGTATCAACGATCCAGAGACAGGATACAATAATTAGCTTTGATTTTTGTTATGCAATGCATATAGTGAAAGTATTTGAAAGATGACGAATTAACTTTGGAGGAAGAGATCTTCTCCCCACCTTGCAGTGTGCTAAGTACAAGCCTGCTCTTGTCAGTGCCAAAGCCTTGCAAGTCCCCAGAACAGTCACCTCCTACCAGCAGTGTTCGTTCGCTTTGCTACAAAAGTACCACATGTAAGTGCTGCTTCAGAAAAGTAACTGAAATTGGAGGGTTTGTTTGAGCGAAAGAGGCCTAACCATAGCAGAGCAGGCAGGTGGACTGAAGTGTCTATTTTACAGTGCCAATTTGCAGTGAATAAGAAGTAGACAGCAAGCAAAAGAAAAAAACAACCCGCAAAACCTGGCATTCACGGCTACTGCCTGGCAAAGACTACCACCTGCAGCAGGGTTCGTTATCTGAACATCCTTTAAGAAGAAAGTAGTCACTATTCTGGGGAATAACACCCTAAATAAAGAATGCCCCTCCTGCCATCCTCACGGGCTGCTTGCTGGTGTAGCAGCAGCCAAAAAGCACCCACTCCAGACAGGATTCCCATGCTACAGCCCTGCTCCAGAGTTAAAAGTATCTTCAAAGGATGTCAAACCCAACTCACACTCAAGTAAGTTGTTCTGAAGGTTAGGTAAAGATTTTCCCCAAACCTTTGGTCGAATTTCCTTGGCATCGCCTTCCGTGATTGTGGGGATTTTGAACTTTCTTTATCTAGATCAACTATTAGAAACCTTTTCACTATTTAAGCTGTGATTAAGTCACCACTTAACCTCTTTTTTGGGGGGAAGAGGAAGGAGGAAAAGTCCTAAGCCTCTTAAGAGCTTCTAAGCCTCTTACAGTCAGAGAGTTTTCTAAAACGACATTTCTTGCAGCTTTCTTTCTGACTAACCTTCAAATTTTCAAGGCTTTCCAAAGGACAGACAACAAAACCAGGCACATTCCTCTAGTTCTTTCCCTCGCGCTTTTTGCAAAGGAAATGGCACTACCTGGTCCCTACAATACTGCAGTAGAACAACTGCCCTGCTTCTCCAAGGACTCAGTTTGGCTCTCTTAACTAATGGGATGAATCTTTATACTTGTAAAGCACCTCATTTATAGAGGTTGTTTTGGGGTCGTTTCTTATGGGAGCACGTGACCACGCGAGGCGGGGGGCTCAGCGCAGCGAGGCCGCGGCGCCCGTACTCACACGTTCAGCGGTTGCCAGGCCGGCCACTGCGCTTTGGCCTTGATGACCGTCAAAACCTCGTCGCTCTGTAAAGACAGACAAAAGAAGGGAGTGAGTGGGACCGCTTCAGGATGAGAGGAATAGGGTTTACAGCAAAAAAGACAAAGCAGCAGCACTTGATCTAAAAACCGGATTTGAGTGTCGAAACTTAATGATTTCTGAAGAAGGAAAGTGCACCAAAGGCCTAAAGGTGAAGTCTGACGTACACGTATTCCAACAATAAAAGAAGTGGAAAAAAATGGTTTAATGCCTCGCATGTGTAGACGATGGCAGTTTGGGGCCTGTCAGCTGTCACAGAGATGGATACTCAGGAGGTAAGGTGCTTGCACATTTACTTGGTTGACTCAATAGCTTTTCCCAGTGAAAACACTTCTATCCTTCCAGCAAGTCCTAATAGCACAATTTAAAAAAATAATAATGTCATTCTAATCCATACAATTCTACTGACATTTTGTAGGTGGTATAAATTAAGAATTTGCATTATAACCATTTGTTCAGGCAGTGTACAAATGAAGCTGCATGCAGAATAAAGTCAATCCATGGCACCAAGGAGCACCGCGTACTATGAAACCACCACTAAATTGGATCACTCAGCCATGTGTGTTAGAAAAGATTAAAATGCATTCCTCATCTTGGCTCAAATGGCAGCACTGAAGCCAGAGTTTGACACAACTTATTTAAAGGGTAATATCCATTCAAAGGTAATGAAAGCTTTCAGTAGAAATCACCTGAATACTTTTGGAATAAAAGAGAGTGGAAGGAGCTGGAAAACCACACAAACTATTTCACACGTGCCTGCTACTTTGTGATAACCCATGTGATTAGCATCTGTTAAATGCTGAAAGTTACTTTTATGAGCATTTTTATTACTATCTTTGTAATATATCTACAGAGTAACTTTATAAAACATTACGGTGCAGATCATTTAGCACTTTGTAATAGGGATTCAATTCAGTTCAGCTAAACGAGTGACAGTGTTATTACCTGACAGCAAAATTAGTCAGATCCCATCAACTGTGAGAATGAGAAACACCTGTTTTGAGCCAGAGCTTAATTTCCCTCCTTTCCCACCGCTCTTGGCTGGCATTCATGGGATTCTCTGAGAACAGACAACATTTAATTTCTTCCACAAGACCCATCTGCACGCCCTTCAATCCACGCCAGACTTCTTGCAGGAAAAGCAACATTATCCTCAATTCACAGCTGATGTCTGAGTTTTAAGACAGCATCCTTCCTGCAGGATCATCTTTTCCTTTTTAAAAGTACTCTTTTTACCCAAACGCAAAATAAAGAGCCTTTTCTCCTGTAAAGCAGTCACGGATGCAAACTGTGCAGCCCTCGATGTCCCAGGCGCTGCGGACTTCCACGGATGTTCGCTGGAACATGGCATGTCTTCTCCTGCCTCATCAAACCTGCGCCTTGTCTACCTTAGTTTCACAGAGGCATTTGAATAAAAGGAGGATGTTGATGTAGGCACGTTATGGTAAAGTATAAATATTTTCTGAAAGAAGGGAATAGCTGTCTGCTCTCTGGCAAAAAAGTAAATGCTTTATTTAAAGCAAATGCTAAAAGCATCTACATCGTTCTTTGCTCTAGAGTTCAATTACGGGTACCTATACTTAACTCTTTTGGAAAAAGTTAAGTTTTTTAGTTACCAATGAGTTCATCAGGAAAAAAAGAAATCAAGTCATAATTAAAGAAGAGAACTTATTGCTAGCATTGGCTATTGAATTTTGTTTAATTCTGTCATCTCCTTATTTTCGGGCAGGCTACACTTAGAGCCATTAGCCCTGATTTGGGGCTATTTTAAACGAGGCCAAACATCCGTTCCCATCAGGGGGATTTTATCAGGACGAAGTGTGCCCACGTTGCTCTGACTTACCCCTGTTTAGATGCTACCTGTTCTCCACGCTTTCCGAAATGAGCGGCACCAGAGAACACGTGGTGATGCAGGATACACGAACGTGCCTTACACTGAGCTCAGTGTTTCACCTCGAGGGGCAGGGCAAGGTGGGCTGGGATTAAGCGCGGCCGCGTTGCTAGTGGTAGCTGCCCGATGTGCTTCCCTCTGGGGGCAGTTACATAACGAGGCTCCCAATGAAGCAGCCATTCGCTTCTGCTCAGGATAAAGCTCGGCAACACGGATTAAGGAGCCCAGGCTGCGTCCTGAACCTTTCAGTGCCCGTTTGCTCTGGGTAAGCAGGATGCTGCAGCAGAAAAGCAACCCCTGTGACTCGGCTTCTTGAAGGCGAGATCCGTTTCTATTACGTGTTTTTATTCATTCCACATAGAGCATTCCCTGCTGTACTGGGCATTGCAGACTCTAAATTATTTTTGCCAAAAACTAGGGACAATCTTTTTATTTTATTTATAAACAGCTACTTTTTAAAGTAGGGGAGGAAGCTAGGTTTTGAAGCTGACCATGATGGTTGTTATTTCACCCTTTGCTTACTGGGTTTCTCTAGCAATACCTTTTCTTCCTGCTGTTGTCTCAACTTTTCCTCTCTCATCGATATTTTTAAGTAACCTGGTCTTTAAATGTCAGTCTAGGTGCTAGAAAGCTACTTTCACTGTGAATTCAGAAAGATCTGGAAGGAAATTATGTCCACAGCAGAAAAGCAGCCATCCCACTGCCACTGTGACATTAGCCACCTGCAAGACCTTGCTCTTCTGTTACCTGCAAGACCTCTTCTGTTAAGAACAAATATTTTTAAAGAAAACCAGCAAATGAGACAAGTGGGTCGATTTTTTTCTGAGCCTTGACAACATTTTTTGGAAAATCAATGCTATGTTTTATTTTTCACCCAGGATGTACAGCCCAAGTACCCTAAATGTGCTTTAACTGTATGGAGGCCACCACTGCACGTTATTTTCCCCCCAACTAAAGAAATTGTGTAAATAAAGAAATTGTGTAACTAAGCCACCTTCTTCCATTCCTTCACAAAGCAAAAACAACAACAACAACAAAAAGCACCTTTGGTCAAATTAAGGATCTTATCATGAACTAATTTTCTGCAATTTGGAAAGGATAGTTCTTTTGAAGAAAGCAACTTCCAAACTCTTTCTCTGCCCACACACTTTTAGACATCACCACAACAAACAGGATTTTGCCCTTGGGGAACCCTTCTCTGGCCCTGTGTAGTATCTTGATTTACACTTTGACATTAATTTGCCCAAATGACCCCAAAATACTTGTTTACCTTAGTTAGGAATTTTGCAGGCCCAAGCTAGGTGACATTAACTCCTTACTCTGATGATGAAGTGGGGAAAGGCTATATATATATTTTTTCCCCGTCCCCCCATAATCTCTTCAGCACTAAGTTTTCAGCTAAAACGGAGCATAGAAGTAAACCCTGTAGCCACAATGGTGCGTGACACCCTGCGGGGATCGGGGATGTTGTCTGTGCAGTAGGCACAAAGAATCGTGTTTTTCTTAAGGAGTGTCTCCAAAGTACTCTGAAAGATCCCTAAGAGATTAATTTGCTCAGTGTTGCATTCACGTAAGTTATTTTATGATCAAAATTACAAACTGAGGAACATAAAAAGAAGCTTATAGTCTAAAAAGGCAGCATTCTTTTGCTATGCCATGAAACAGCCCTTCTGAATATTCTCTGAAACGTTCAAAGCCAAAAAAAGCCTACCTTATGATCGCAGAAGGAAAACAGGTATTACAGAAGTAAAAAAGACCTGAAAACAGATGTTTTCATCATCTCATTTGGATTTCTTTGTGTTTCTAATAACCTCTTTTCTTCTTCAGAGGTGATCCTCTGTAACCACCAGAGTTTTACAGTATTAAAATTATAATCATGTTTTCAAAATCAGCAGTTCTGTTTGCCCAATATTTACTTTTCTTTTTTTCCCCTCTTCCGTGAATCCTCTCACCTTCCAGACTTAGCTGTGGGGATTTACACTACGACACTGAGCATAAACATCATTCCCTCCTTTACTTGTACAGAACAAACAAGAAAGCTGGACTGGTCCCAACTAAAGTCCTCATTCCATGTGTTAAGACACTTCAATAAAAACAATTAAGGCCTCTCAAAATAAAATGAGGTTGTTTTCTCTTAACTCTGCAAGGAGACTAGAACTGCTTCCTAGCGGCAGGGCCGGCTTCCAGCGTGACGAGTCATCGGAGCAGCAATGTGTGTCCGATGCCACGGGGAAGCCAGGGCTGGGACTCTGCTCACGGGTAACGTTCAAGGGGCAGCACCCTCTGCGTGGCCGGGACGCATGACTCCAACATTCCTGATCCTGATATGACCACACAGGGCAGTTTCCATCCCATTCTCTCCCGACACCGCTATTGCTCACAGAATGAAACTGCTGGCAATGTTTGCATATAACCAAAATGCTGAGTTATTGCACCACACTAACTGCTAAAAGACTATTAAATATGCAATTAATGCAGCATTCTCTAAAGTTTGATGAGACAATTAATAGTTCTTTATGTTTTCACAGTACCTTGCCTCAAGGAATTCAAAAGAGCTTTGAAAAAAAAAATCAGTTCTTACAGACAACACTGAGGCCCAGTCAGCAAACTGAAGCTTACCTACAGCTCAGAACGCTGGCAGACAATCCTATATCTATAGCTAGAACAATTCTACCATAGCATCTGCTGTTCACCCAGCACTAGGATTGGGGGCCTCAGCCCCTGGACCCACTGAGATGAGGCTGACAGCCAGGGGCAGGGTTAACCGGGAGAGCAGGCCGAGAGCTCCGCAGGCTGTGCCAAGGGAAATGCAGTGCCACAACCACACTGCTTCTAGGGCCCAGCTTGCCCTTCCGCAAGCAGGAGGCCTGGGGGGTTCAGCCCCCAGGCACACCTGAGATTTGGCGGACAGTAAGGGTAAGGCTTAGGGTGGGGCTTAACGGAAAGGCCTAGCACATCATGGAGAGGGAAGCTAGAGAGAGTATGCCAAACAGGAAGAACCCTGCATCCACAGTGACTCTAAGGCAAACATCTGTCTATGAGCCAGCACTAGGCTTGGTGGCCTCAGGCTCTTGACCCGCCTGAGATTTGGCCAAT